ACTCAAATAGTTGAACTGTTGCTGAAGGAACAAGTTGATCCTAATGTTCAAAACAAGGATGGTTGGAATGCTTTTATGTTGGCTTGTCTAAATGGTCACACTCAAATAGTTGAACTGTTGCTGAAGGAACAAGTTGATCCTAATGTTCAAAACAAAAATGAAGTGAATGCTTTTATGTCAGCTTGTCTAAATGGTCACACTCAAATAGTTGAACTGTTGCTGAAGGAACAAGTTGATCCTAATGTTCAAAACAAAAATGGAGTGAATGCTTTTATGTTGGCTTGTCTAAATGGTCACACTCAAATAGTGGAATTGTTGCTGACAGAACAAGTTGATCTTAATGTTCAAGACAAGGATGATTGGAATGCTTTTATGTTGGCTTGTCAAAATGGTCACACTCAAATAGTTGAACTATTGCTGAAGGAACAAGTTGATTCTAATGTTAAAAACAAAGATGGAGTGAATGCTTTTATGTTGGCTTGTCAAAATGGTCACACTCAAATAATTGAACTGTTACTGAAGAAACAACAAATTGATCTTAATGTCCAAGACAAAGAAGGTCATACTGCTTTGATGGCTGCCAGTGCTAAAGGACATTATGAAGTAGTTATGTTATTATTGGAATGGAAAACTGATCCAACTGTTGTATCTAATGAAGGCCACACTGCGTTATCAGTAGCTAAGACTGAAGAAATATTGGCATTGATTAATAACAATTATAATTTAAAGAAAGGACATAAAATATTTAAAGATGTTGCTGCTGTATCTGCAACAGTATCTAGCGGATATCATTCAGTATCCACTGGTGTTAGTAGTATAAGAAGTTCTCCTTCTATATTAACTTTAGATTCAATTATAGATGACTAGATCTATAAGGAGTGATGTTAGATTAGATGCTTACAATCTTACAATGTAATGCTGTTAATTTACTGCTTTTATTGTTTTTAATAAATTTGTTTTAATTTGTTACATTGTGGGCGTGGCATTGTCTGCAATTATGGAGGGTCCTGGTGTGTTTAAATGGATCACATTTCAAGAGATACTGTTTCTTTTCATATCTTGTTCAGTATTAGCGTTCCTGTTAAGATCACAGGATAGCCTAGAGTTTAAACTAGTACTGAATGTAACTACTGAGGAAAGGGTGGCGAGAGAGAATTATGCCAATCAGAAATTCCCTCTTAGAAATGAAAAACTGTAAGGAAAAAATTATTAATGGTGTCATATCTTTTTATTTTTTATTCAGTCCTTTGCCTATTGTAACTGATTTGGAAAGTGATGGACAAACAGGTACTGCTATACTGTTATACTGTAATACTAAGAGTGCATACGTACATGTACATGTAACTAGTAAATGCAGTCAACGTTTACAGAATCGATCCTGTTGTCGTTAATCGTTCTTGCCATAAAAGGAACTTCCTACATGTACCTGCATATATGCTTAGTAACTTCCTAGAAAACCTTATCTTTACCTGGAGAATTTATTAGTACCATTAGCATTAGTTAAAAGTTAAAGAGTAAACTTTAATGCAGACAAAGTAGCCCCTTTTTACTTAAATGTACATGTACATGTATATTTTAATTATTTGTTCCTCTTCCTCCATTACTAGATGTTATACTAGTCAGTGCTGATAAGATACTCAATGTATACTCACGCCATTATACACCTTCTTATCTTGGACACCATGGGATCAGACACAGTAATAAGAATGTAAGAGAGAGAGAGAAAGGGGGGAGAGAGTGGATGAAGATATTTTGTTTGTTTGTAGGTGTCATTGTCAAAGACGTCACGTGTTGTTGCTATGACAACCGGTTTCCTACAACCATACCAGTCAGTGGTACAAGTACGGAAGCAGGTTAGGAGAGAGAGAGAGGGAGAAGAAATACATGTACATGTACATGTATATACATGTTCTTGTGTATTTATTTTTAAATTTAGGTAATAGCAGTCCTGTATTCTGATTGGACTCTCAGTTGTTATAATCACAACCTCAAACTGATGTGGAGCCAAAAACTAAACGAAAAGGAAATCCCAATTTCCAGGTGACGATAACATTCTAATTAATGCACACCTTTAATTAATATTGTAATAACTGTCCCCTCCTCTTATAGTGAAGGTAGTTTGTTAGTGTCTGCCATTAGCATCAAGAAGAGTCCAGCTGGAGTTATACTAGTAGGAGGAAGAATTAATGGAAACTATGACAATAATAATAATAATGATAATATTGGAGGAGATAGTGATAAGAGAAGGTAAGGGAGGGAGAGAGAAATTGAATGTTGTACATATTTTATTATTTTCAATGTTTATTTGTGATAGGATGAGAAGAGGAGCAGAACAGGAAAAGATGGAGCATCAAAAAGTAAAAAATTTTGTACTTTTTATATTTATAATAGAATTTTAATTTGAACACATGTACATTTACTTTAAGTTTTACATTTTAAATATTATTAAATTACATTATTATTATTATTATTATTATTATTATTATTCAACAAACAAGACAAAACAAGTTAAAAACAAAGTTAAAAGAAATAAAGGAAAATTAGATAATATAATAATTATATGTAGCTAGTTAAGGTAGATTATTTTATTATTATTATTATTATTATTATTATTATTATTATTATTATTATTACATTATTATTATTATTATTATTATTATTATTATTATTATTATTATTATTATTATTATTATTATTATTATTTCTTTTAGTTGGAGTCATTGGGTCATTATTGTACTTATGCTGTTAGTGGTAAGACTGGCGAGTTGCTATGGAAACACGAACCAGGAGACTTTGAGGTCCATCCTGCATATGACATTGGATTATCATCATTCACAGTAAGAGTATACTAATGTATCATTATTATTATTATTATGTACTTACTTAATGGAGAATTACAATTACCTGTAATAGTTAGATACAGTCCACCAAAGACATTCATGTACATATGGTATACATGTACAACTATGTGGCCACTTTTTGAGCTTTTAGCAGCTGCAGAATAAGACAGAGGTACTGTCTAAAGTTTGAGAAAATTTTTACAGTTCTAATAAATACCAGCTACATGTGTATTCTTCAAAATATTCCACAATAAATCCTCATTTACATGTAGTTCAATTTCTATTTCATATTGTACATGTATTACTATACTGTATATTTACATGTACACATGTGTTCTTATACACATGTGTACATGTGATTCTTTTCTTTGTAGCATTTCAAGTTATTATTTCATAAATATTTACTACATGAAGGAGAGGTCTCTTGGCATCAGTACAGTTCAGCTATTCGTCAAATAATGGTGGGTGTGGTCTTCATTAATTAATAACAATTAATTACTTATTAATAGCCTCATTCGTGGACTGATGATTTTGATACAA